CCCAAAACCCCAAAACCCCAAAACCCCAAAACCCCAAAACCCCAAAACCCCTTATCGATATAATAAGGTAAAAAATAATGTTAAAAAAATACATTTAAGTTCAAAACCAATTTCAAATAATTAAAGCACTGACTCTTCTTAATTCTACATATTAATAATCAAAGCTAATGAAATCTCTTAAGAAATAGATGAGAATTATATAGAAACCAAGAATCATGGTTTGGTTTTATACAATACTAAACCTCGTTCCCCTTATATTAGGCCAAATATCTTAAGATACTCCTAAAACCCCCCTAACTCTGGGACAGATATATTTTGACATTAGCTAGGATGTGAGAACAATGACTTATTACTCATATACGATAACCGGGAAAAATCTTAAAACAGATATTGAAAAAAGCATTGGAAATATGACTGCAATCAGATTAGACACATAAGACCCTGACTCAGACCCTGATCTATTCATATCCAAGGTAAGTCATTAGAAATAACCAACCTTTGCATTATAGACTGTTGATTACCCAACATAAGACTATGAATCCGATTAAGTATGTACAAGAAATGGTCCAGAATATTGTATTTTAGATAATTCAATTTTCAAAGTTGGAGATACCATCAATATTGGCATTCGATGCCTCAATGCTTGCAAATACTCTCTAAGAGTAATACAGCCAACAGTATCCTAGTTGAATAGTTCCAATGTCTCAGAAGCAACAACAACAGTCTTCTTAGACTAGAGATCACTTAATATTTTTGCTTATCGCATTCCACAGAATACCACAGATATTTCTAAAATTGCTAACCTTCAATTCACTGTTATAAGCTACTAATTGGAAAGTCAAATGACTCTGGCTTACGTAGTCTCCAACAATTTTAACTTGATTTAGCAGAGAGACACTGATCTGATCATTGATGGAGGTAAAGCGATTAAGTTTACCACTCAAGATTACGGGTGGTGCAATAATTGCCTCATATACCTAATTGTTAATATGAGATCAGCTTCAAATCTTATTATAAAGACGACTTTATCGCCAGCAATGTATAAGCTAGAAGATTAAGTAGCAATAGAAAGACTGGTTAAGTCTTAGCAACTTGAATGCCTCTCATTTAACATGCTAAAGGCAGTGAATGATGCAGTTTTCGAAATTAATCAGTACTAGGGAGAGATGGACATTTTGGCTTACTATCGAAATTTAGACACTAATGAAGTGAGTTCAGACATTCTGGTCTCATCTGAAATGTTTTAATAAAGGTCTATAATTGTAAGATCTATTGATAGACAGAGACTAGGGCCGGCTAATGGCCTGATTTACCTCTGCATACAAGCCTTTTCAGATTCAAGTCTTTCTATTTACCCTTATCAGTATTATTCATTTGATAAATATGACGCAGTTGAAGATAGTTTATACTCATTCGTTCTTGACTCAAAAGATTCAGTTTACTTCAGATACACTTCAGTAATTCTATAGTAAAGTGCTGTACTCAATATCACAGTATAATCTTTCAGCAATCTTTACAATGTCCCAAAAGTCTTTTACTAGATTTGCCAATCCTCTAACATAGATGAGTGCTCACTAAGTAAACAATAATAGCAAGGAGACAAATCCATTTCACCTTTAATGACTGAATTGGTTGGACAAGTTGATAACTTAAAGAATAGATATGTAACTATCAATCACAATCCTTTGATGTGTCCAATTCCAAGCAATTGCATCTATCTAATAAGTGTTTACAATAATGATCTCAGCAATCCCCTTAAAACTACTTTCAAACTTACCACATCGCAGCCAGATCCAAGACCCGTGATGCTGTTCAAGCAATATTACGGAGTCTTAGATCAGGGAGATAACAAATACTATCAGCTTGTGATGTCCCCAACTTAAATTCAAACTCTTACACTGTCTTACTTAGTCGTAAACCTGACCTCATTCAATGGTAGAGCTGATCTGTACGCTTCTAATATAACTAAAAACCCCAATTCCAATAACTATACCTAAAAAAGTAGAACCATTTCACCTTGGACTTCTCTAGTTTATAACGTAACAGGGATAGACATAATGCAGAAGCCAGTCTACTTCACAGTTAATGCGAACTTCAGAACTACTTACTCTATTAAATTTGATGCTATTTACACTGATATTACTGACCCTAAAGAGTCATTCAGTGATATCACTTAAGAAATCATTTTAGATGGTATTGTAAAGCAAACCTCAATAGACTCTACAGGAAATAGAACTAAGGTCTTTGCTTATAGTCCAGTTAGTGAGAATAATAATCCAAGAGATATCGTCTTATTGCTCAATGTCGACTCTTCACCTGCCAATACTGTTCTCAATTACGATGTGTTCTATGGAAACTAAAAATGGCTATATCTCACTGGAACTAATACGATCAAAGGATCTCAGCTTTAGTATGTTGATGGGCAGACTATGACAATCGTTTTTAGAGAAACCTAAACATCACCCTATAGATATCAATCTCAGTATTCACTTTCTTCATAACCATCTGATCCTAAAAATCTTATAAATTTCAACTTTGAGATTATGGCTGGAGGTAACCCTGCTTCAAACCTCATAGATACCTCAGTTGATTAAATATACACAGCCTACACTTTAGACTCTTCTCAATTAATCTACTTCAGACAGTACTTAATTGACACCAATGGCACCTATCAATTCCAAATCGAGCCTGTCAAGGGTACTGCTAGTGTTATGTTCAGAACAGGGGCAACTCAGCCATAATTTAACAAAGATGAGTCTAGTACCTACTTCATGCAGTCAATTTATGATCCAAACTAAAACATTCACACCATTCAAACAGAGAGACAGCAAAGAGAGGCTGCTTCAAGTATATGTAAAAACTCAAGTTATACTCTTAGAGGAGGCAATAACAACTGCACCATGTGGATTGGAGTCTAATGTGAAGCTAGATGCTTAGTTAAACTCAGTTCATCATTGATTCAAGCCAAAACTAGAACAGTAGCGATACCTACTCTAATTCAAAATAACACTGTATATTCCAGATCTTTGGCCAGAAATAAGACTGATTACTATTTCATGCCTTTTATTAGAAATCAGCTCAAACCTACTTTTGCATTTTTGCTGCAGAAGCAAAATAACGATTTACTAATGACAATGAGAGTGATATTGAATGGATTTTTACCTTATTTCAATTGGTCTTATCCCACCAACACTTCAGCTGATTTCGTTGTTAGATCTAACTTTACAAACCCAGTAGAAATACTTGAGATGCAAAATGTTACTCTAATGAGATGCCTAGTAAACCAATCATGCATCATTATTATTGGAGTGACTGGCAATGGACCTGTCAACACCTCCATCTCAAACTACCAGTTCACCTTTTTCGATCAGCCCAGCAGGATCTCTCAAGAACATATATTCACTGACTTGGTAGAGTCCTCTAACACCTACAAGTATTTTTGGTACATCTTTAATGCCACTGCTAATTGGAGGCAGACTATTTCAATGAAAATCAATTCTCTTAATGATTATGCTTAACTCTACGTATCCATAAATAGCTGTGCCAGACCTTCAGATATGTACAATCTGTATAAAAGTGATTAGTTTACATCTGAAATCATCCAAATCTCATCGAATGACTCTTACATCAAGTCTTTCAAGTTTATGCCAAGGATGCTAGTAGTGATTGGTGTTAAAGCCCTCACTCCAACTGTTAACTTTACCCTGTTTAACTATGGTCCAAACTACTACAATACCACCTTCTTAAACATTACAGATCTGACTCTTAACAAGTCTTTGAACTCTACTCTTAGGCCTATTAACTAGAAACTCACAAATAACTTCCAAATCTTTAGATACTTCAACTTTGACTCTAAGGAACTTAGATTCGGAGTTTCCGTCAGGGATGGCTCACTTTTCGTGTATACCAATATCTAGAGATATCAACTCACAGTCAGCAACCCATACTTCTAAATTCCTCTAAATGCCTCAACCAGTTTCTTGGCACCAATTAACCTTAACAAATCACAGAATACCTCAATAATCTTTTCAGATACTAAAAACACTGACTATCTATGCTAGTTCTGCTGGTACTACATAACTGTGTTTTAGAATTTTACTACAAATCTCAATGCCTAAACAGTCTTCTCTATTAATGTAACTGAGCCTGAAACTGCCTCAAATAAAATACCCTTAATTTAATCTAATTTTGAAAACATAATTCTCTAGCCCAAAAGCTTTATACAAAGGAGGATAGTTTTCTAATATAAATCAGAATTTTCAATAACTGTGACAAGTAACAGCAATGCCAGTATTTTAGCAATAATATCGGATCATCCTGACTCGACTTTAGAAAATACTATTTGGACTCAATCAAGCAACACCTCGGTTGTCTTTTCAATGAGTTCTATTGATCCAAGGTTTGCAGTTGGACGTACCTATTATTTATCAGTAGCTGCTCCTGATAGCTTGTAAAATGTCACTATCGCAGTAAACTAGTTCAAACAGGTTAATTTGCTAAGAGATAAGATGATAGTACAAAACAGAATGGACACTCCTTAGGACTTTGTCAAGTTCTATTACTATCTTTTGCCTAAGGTAGGTCAAAACTACACCTCTTCTCTGACTATTAATGTCATTACCCCAGGTTTTATTCCTAATATATATCTCTTAAAGAACGATATACTCAACGGCTCATTAATCTATAGCAACTTGAAGTACCCAACCATTAATAACTTCAGTATTAAGCTTGAGAACACATTCTATAGCATAGATGGTAGAAAAACCTATAACATTACATTTAATAACACAGCAATGAACACTACCTATTAGGTACCATATCTAGCACTTTAGAACTAGACTTTCAATGTGACTACACTTCAAAATGTCTCAACATAGGTTTACAATACTACTACCAAGAAGAATCAAATTGTATATCAGATGAAAAATGTAACAACTTAAGAGATAAGAGCCGTCAATGTTACTAAGTTTTACAACGCTACAGCATTCAATCAATCTTACTACACGATGGCTATATATTGGACAACATTTGGATTCACAGATTATCAAAAAGCAGAATATGAGCTTAATTATACTACTAATATACCTGCAAATAACGTGAGACTAAGTGTTAAACAGGAATTACCAGCTTCTCAATTTACAAAATTCATAGAGGAGATTTTTCCAAACTGGAGTCATAAATATGAAGGTTTATCAGAAGATAATGCAGGTCATTCAGAACAAAGTATGATAGTCTAAGAGACTAAAAGCAATGTGGAACGACACTAATTTATGAGAGCTAAACTACTTCCTTAAAAATGATCTGAGAATTTAAATAAGATTATTAGCCTAGAAATTATAATTGCACAAAATGACATAGCTGAATTATTAGAGTTTTATAAATTAGCGAAGTAATAATAAGATTTAGTCAATTAAAATATTTTCATAATTTAATATAATCTCTGATATTAATTGAACAAGGGGTTTTGGGGTTTTGGG